CGGTGGCAGGGGCGGGGAATGATTTCTCATTCTGTCCCTGTCTTTCTCTGTCTTTCCGGCAAGCACATGCACCCTACAGCAAAAATGTCTCTACAAACAAACAAAACTTTCGAGTGCTATCATAAAAGGAGGTTAGAGGAGGAGGACGGGCATCCCGTTCAGTTGAGAAGAGTGTCAGGGGACACATCTCTATTTCCTTCCCTCCAGTCTCCTCTTGGGATTTTGGGCATGCATGAACCCGTACCCACAGTGGTTTGTTTTGAGAGAGATTTTTGCTCTAGGGCATGTGCGTTTGTGGAGAAACAGAAAGCAAGAAATCACACCCCTGGGGACATGACCACACAGCAATTCCTTCTCTTCCTTTCTCCCCTTGGGCACATATGCACACCCACCCGCATGACCACACAGCATTTCCTTCTCTTCCTTTCTCCCCTTGGGCACATATGCACACCCACCCGGGGTGAGGTTTAAACTACCGGGTCCAGACTCAAACCACAGTTGACTATGTGGGAGTCCAGCAATAGAAGCATTATGCCATCTGCTGGTCCCTCCACAGTGTTTGTCAAGCCAGTAAATCCGGGACTTGAATCGCACAGTGGGCCGTGTGGGATCTAGCCACCTTAACTAATGACATGACCGGCTGGTCCTAAGAGACGTTTTCAGGCTGAATTTTGAGAATGATAAAGAGTTGCCTTGATGAGTTTGGGCAAGGAGGAGTATCCTGGGCAGAAAGGAAGGTGGGGTGCATGCAAGGAATGACACTATTCAGCTGAACACACAGTGTACATGAAAGGTGGGGAGACGGGAGCAAAGGCTGAGGAGAAGACTAGGACAGCTGACATGCCCTAAGGAGTCTAGAGAGTGTACATGAAAGGTGGGGAGACGGAGCAAAGGCTGAGGAAAAGACCAGGACAGCTGACATGCCCTAAGGAGTCTAGAGTCTGAAAATAGAAAAAACCCTGATTGTTTTTTTTTTGAAGAGGTTTTTGCTATAGACCCTGATTGGTTTTTTTTTGAGAGGTTTTTGCTATAGGGCATGTGCGTTCATCAGACAGAGACAGACAGAGAGACAGAAAGCGAGAAATCACCCCCCAGGGGGGATGGCCACGCCGCAATCCCTTCTCCTCCATTCTCGGGATCTTGGGCACGCATGCACACGCGCCCGGCGTGAGTTTAAGCCACCGGGTCCAGGATGTGAACAGCAGTCAACTACATGGGAGTCCA